TTATTCCTTAACTCAATTGTCCAAAAACATAATGAATCAGTTCCCCTCCCCCATAATAATTTAAATCATTTCTCAAATGTCCTTTAATTTTCTTTAAGGCACAATCATCCTTCCTGTTAGCCAGGCTTGGCAACCCGGAGCCTCCTCTGAGTCCATCTGCTCCTGTAGATTTCTCCTGCAGGACCTCTCATATCTGTCCCTTTTTCTGCAGTTCCATGATGCCCCTCATGGGGGCGCTGACAGTCTCATGGCAGGCTTTCCCAGCCCAGGCTGCAAGGCCTTTCCACTCTCATTGCCACCAGTGAACTTCCTGGAGCCCAGCTCTGCTCACGTCACCTTCTGCTCAAATCTCAGACGAACCCTCATTGCCTACAGAACCAAGTTTAACTCGCTAACTTGCCATCAAAGTCTGCCTTGGGTCTGGACCAAACCCATCTCTTTCAAGCTCTATCTCACATTTTTTCTGTTAATCATTCCTCTTTCAGGCTAAGTTTTGCTCTATGGCTCTCCACCTCTATCTTTGCTGTCCTATTCCCTCCACTTCCCTCTCCATGTTCCAAGGCCAGAGTGATGCCATTTCATGCACAATCTTTGTCTAGCATGCTGAAAGTCCTCAAACCCCACAGCACGTTATCTCTGCGGCTCTAACGTCACCTCCCCTTTCTCCCTTGCAATAGAGTTATGCTCCTATAGAAACCTAAAACAAGTTGCTGTCAAGTTGATTCCAACTCATGGCAACACCACATGTTTCAGAGTAGAACTATGCTCTACTCTGTGGGTTTTCAATGGCGATTTTTCAGAAGTAGATGGCCAGGCCTTTCTTCTGAGGTGCGGTGGGTGGACTTGAACCATGAACCTTTCAGTTAGCAGCCAAGTGTGTTAACTGTTGGCACCACCCAGGGACATATATGACTGTAAGGGTTTTGAGGGCAAACGTTGCCTTTACCTCTTCTTTGTATCCTCCCCACATCCTTGCACAAAGGATGTTTTTGTTTCTTGAACTGGGGTTTATGGACTCCATGTATTTTGAGGATTCTACAAGTTGTAGACTTTTTCAGTTTTGTGTTTTCATTGGAATACTAATTTTTTAAAACTGATTTGGTTCTTCTAAATATTTTCCTAGACGAGAGCTTCTGAGTTTCCGAAGTTGACATTTCTTGTCAGTTTTACTTTCTTTGGAAAGGGTCTGGCCTGGAGCTTGAGAAACTCAGCAATACTTGTTTATTTGTTGAATAAATGTTTATTTGTTGGCTCTGTGAATGAGTGATCTACCAAGTGGTAAATCAGCCAACTGCCAGCTGCTTGAGAATGGCCAGGATTCCAAGAGGGCCACGGAGCAGAACTGCAAGCAGGACTCTGTTGCACAGGACAAAGTGTCAGAAGGTCTCATGTCAGAAGTGACTCAGGATTTCCCTCGGAGCTCACTATGTACAGTGGGATTTCTTCTACTGAGGGCTTCTCGCCTTTAGAGACTAACCTTTCACATGGAACCATGAGGGGCTTTTCCTCTTCTGACAAAACACAGTGTGACTTGGAGTACAGGCAGGGGAACAAAGCCACACGAACATTGGTTCAGAACGAGACTGTTTCCAGGAGCCTCGGGCCCAGCCCTTTCCTCTGGCCTCCTCCCCACCCTTAGGTGGTTTATCCCACCTTTTTTTCTCCTTTTGTTCTCAAAGAAGTAAAGAACACAGTGGTTAGGAACACAAACCCTGGAGCCAGCCTGCCTGGGTTCCAATTCTGACCCTGCCACTGATTGCTATACGTCCATGGGTAAGTTACTCAACCCCTCTCTGCCTCCATTCCTTTTCTGTAAAAAAGGAAGATGATGATGACGATGATGTGAGGATTAAATGAGTGAATCCATATGTAAAGCACCTAAAGCAGGACCTGGCACATAACAAGGGCTTATTAAGTATTACTTATTAAGGACTATCGAAGTCCCTGGGTGGTGCAAACGGTTAACACGCTTGTCTGCTAACTGAAGGATTGTAGGTTCGAATCCAACCAGAGGTGCTTAGGAAGAAAGGCCTAGCAATCGACCTCTGAAAAAACAGCCACTGAAAACCCTATGGAGCCTAGTTCTACTCTGACACACATGGGGTTGCCATGAGTTGGAACTGACTCAACTGCAACTGGTTAAGAACTAGGAGGATTACTATTATCAGCATCACCATCATGATTATCCTCTCCACCCTGCCTTCTAATTTTAAATAATTCACCGGTCTTCACAGAGTTCAGCACTCGCTCATTTTAAAATCCTTCTGGAGAAGGTATATACTTTTTTTGTTCAGTCTGATGTATTTTGGGGCAACAAATTCTCCCCCGCTTGGCTTACATGTTCCCTTGCTTAATTCTTCCTGCTACTTTCAGTTTTTTGTTTCCCCCTACTCTCAAGGAACCATGCCAAGTCATTCCTGTCCCTCCTCCATTGTTTTACTTTGTAGATTATTTTGCAGTGTTTTCTCCCCATTGCCATGGTTATTGCCCTTTGCCTTAATCCTCCTCTTTTAAATGATTCCTTTAAGTCTCTTAACAGTCTTTTGCTTCAGGACTCCCTCCAGGTTTCTGGTATCTTTGTATCAATAGAACATAAAAAACATCCTCAGTATTCCAAATGTGTTCTCACTCCAACATGTTCCAGAGCGGCCTTTACCTTCCCAGAGTATCACAACGTGACATGTCCGCACTCTCTGCCTCGAGTTACTCTGGCGTTTCTTGTTGCCTTGAGACACACAGACTCATTTGTAATCACCCCTGCCCCCTTTCAACATTATGCTTCCTGGCAGTGCTCTGCAATTGATGATCTGGGCTTCTAATTATTTTCCTCCAGATGTATTAAATCTCTTTCTCCCTCCCTAAGGTCAATTCCATTTTCTTGCCCATGTGGCCAGTATGTCTATGAACAGTTTGTGGATAGTTAGATGTTTTTCTATCCTTTGGCACCGGCAGTTAAACACAACTTGGTACTGTCTGAATATATCACGAGTATGCCATTTATCTGTCTTTCTATATCTTTTCTTTGGAACACCATTAACACTTCCCTTTACAGCTGTTTAAGAATGTCAGGGGCACGGAGCGGAGTTGGGAGACAGGGAGAAAGATCAGGAAGAACTGATTATGCTTTTTGTTGACTTATGCTGTGCTGTGCTGCCCAGAACTATCTGCTACATAATACTTAGAAAATTTTCCGTGAACTATTGGAATCAAAGGTATTTATTTGTAAGTCAGCAATAGTAATTATACAAAAGATTTCTGATGCTATGGAGAAGTCAAATCTTATTTAATACAACAGATAATACATTAATCAAGTTTTTACTTCATGTAATTGATAGATCTGGGGTGACAGGACTTCACTGGTAGTATCTATAAATATATATAATTTTGAGCCACATTAAAATTATGCTTTACCCTTATGTCAGCTTGTATACATGAGTCTGGTTTTCCCAATTAGATCGTAAGTCTAGTAACATAGGGATCATACTTCACATCTTTTCATATCCTAATGTCTAGCGTAGTTCCAAGCATTCTGGGGTTCAACAAATGTAAGCTATGTCTCATGTTTAAGTACTTACCAAAGGTCTATAATACCAGAGTTCATAAACATAAGAATATTAGTTTATCTTATTTTTTGTAAAATCTACATTTTTAAAAAATTCCATATTGGGGAATAAATAAATATGACTTGCTGTAAGTAACGGAAATAAATTTTACAACATAAGAGGACATAAAATTAGAAAATTGATCAGTTTGTCTAAATTCAGTTGTTACAAAAGGGTTCTTTGCAAAAGATTTACTGTAGATCTGTTTAAATATTACCTCTTCCACTCCAATGATATGATGCAGAAAGAGTATGCTAAAATTTAACTCATATGTGGTTTTA